GCAGTAAGAAATATAAAAAGACTGTCAATATTTTCAGATGATATGATTTTACATGTGACAATCTACCCATGAAGTATTAAAACTAAAAACCGGACATAGAAGGGTTGCCAGTACAAGGCCAACAGGTAAAACCCAATAACATTTTTACATATCAGCAAGAAAAAGCATGAAAATAAATATTTTAAGAAGATACATATAGAGGAACATCATTAAATTCCAAATACATTAGAATGAATTCAACAAAAGCCCAATGTTTCTATGAAGAAATCTATAAAACACTGTCGAAAGAAATTAAAGATATAAATAAATGGAAGGATATGTTCTGTTCATTAATTGGACGACCCCAGATGGTGAAGATGACTATGGTAATTGCTTTTTCTTTGCTGTTAATTTTATTATCCTGTGTACATAGCCTATTATCTTACCTTTTCTTCTATAACATTTGGGGTTTTTTGCCTTTCATATTGGATCTACAATCTACTTACAATTGATTTTTTATTATGGTTTCAAATAAGAATAAAGATTCAGCTTTTAAATTAATAACAAATTGTCTCAGTATATTTATTTGAAAATACCGTTTTCCCCATTGGCTCTAACCATAAAGGGAAAGCTTAATAAGTTAAAACACGCCAAAATTAAGAATTTCTATTCATCAAAGGACAATCTTAGGGATTATAAAAGGAAGCAAATGAATGACAAAAAAATATGTGCAATACATATAATCTATGTAAAGTTTTATCAGAATGTATAGCACAGATCTCTCAAAAATCAATAGTTTAGCCCCTCTCCTGAATACTTTGCTTGGAAGGTGGCTTTATGAGGAAGGGCATTTACATTTCTATGGAGGATAATGAACTCAGGGAAAATGAAAAGTCTGTCAACAATAAACCACTTGCTCCAGAGTAAGCTCATCCCTCCCACTGCACATAAACAATAAATGCAAAAACAACAACAAAACCTTTCTGGAAAGGCNCCTCTCCTCCCACTGCACATAAACAATAAATGCAAAAACAACAACAAAACCTTTCTGGAAAGGTGCCCTATTGATTTGTGGTAATAACCTCAAAATATTTTTGAGATTTTTAGCTAATACCTATCAGTTTGGGCATTGGATTCTATCTCTTAGAAAGCTATCTTCATATTTTTNCTGGAAAGGCGCCCTATTGATTTGTGGTAATAACCTCAAAATATTTTTGAGATTTTTAGCTAATACCTATCAGTTTGGGCATTAGATTCTATCTCTTAGAAAGCTATCTTCATATTTTTGAACCAAATTTAAGAAAGCACAGATGTAATTAACCAGAAAAAGTGATAGCTCAGTTATTAACCTGTCCTCTTGATAATTTGAAAAGCTTGCAAATTCTCTTTCGAAAAATAACCTCTCTCTAATTATTTCTTCAGCTAGCCAATCCTCTCTTTGTAATCTAGTTGTCCCCATTCCTGTTTACATTGGTGTATTTTGTGCAAAAATATTACAAGCCTTCGAGAAGAAAACGCATGTGGTCATCTATTCCTCTACTGGCAGCACACAGGATTTTAACATAGAGCTCATTTTCAAATCATCCAAGAAATCCTTGGAGTTCAAGTTGCTTTTCCATTTGCGGTATGAAACTTGGCATCACATGTTTCTGTTCTGGGAAAAGTCCACTGACACTCTGAATCACCTGGTAACATAAATTAACATGCAGTAGGTCTTAGAACATAACTCTCAGAAGCACAGGGAGAGAAAAAAGAATAGGAAAAATAGAACCTTGTTTTCAAAATGTATTCACATAAAACTTTACAATAGGCTCTGCCCAGTAGGAAAATATCAAAATAATTAGGCAAGCAGACCATACTTAAGAATTCTGGGACTACTGTGGATGAGAATGTAAGGAGGTACAGCCACTGTGGAAAACAGGATGGTAGTTCTACAAAAAGTTAGAACTAGAATCACCAGGATGGCAGTTCTAAAAAAAGTTAGAACTAGAATTACCACGTGATCCATCAATCCCACTTCTAGGGATATGGGCAAAAGTGTTGAAGCAAGGCCTCAGGTATTTGTGCATTCGTATCTGTGCCAGCTAAAATGCCGAAGCAGCCCAAGTGCCCATCGCTGGATAAGTGGACGGGTAAAATGTGGTGTATACGCAGACAGTAGAATATTATTCAGCTTTAAAAATGAAATTCTGCAATATGCTACAACATGGGTGGACTTTGAGGATATTATGCTAAGTGAAACTACTCCAGTCACAAAAAGGCAAATACTATATGATTCCATTCATAGGAAATACTTAGAATAGTCGAAATCATAAAGACAGAAAGTATAATGGTGTTTTCAAGGGCTGTGGGGAAGGGTTAACGAAGAGTTATGGTTTAATAGGTATAAAAATGCAGTTCTCCAGGATAAAAAAAAGAGTTATGGGGATGGATAGGGGTGATGGTCGTGCAACAATATAAATGTGTTTAATACCACTGAACCATACACTATAAAAGGTCTAGACTGTAAGTTTTATGGTCTGTGTATTTCACCATAATTTTTTTCAAAGTGAAAATAAAATACAGAATTCTGTGCAGAATTCAAAATAATCATGAGGCCAGGAATTTAAACACACATGAATAAGTACTAAATATATACTGTTTTCTCCCACTACTTGCATTTCAACTAAGAACTATTCCTGTAATATATCAGAGCGACTTTGTAGGCAGTGGTCCTTCGCTATTGCTTAATGACAATGGGAAAGATGAAAATCAATTATATGCTTTTGCATTAAGTCAGAGGACATTTTATTGTCCCAGAAGCTGGTTCAAGACTTTCTTTTAGGTAAACATCTAGCTTGGCTGGAAAAATACCATAATAAGCCCCTTGTAAAATCTGGACTCCAGAAGTGCAGGAGGTAATGAGAGGAAGATGGAAGATGGAGCCTTGAAAGTAGAGGGAAGCAGCGTGATGGGAGCGACATTCACGTGTTGGTATAAGGAGAAAGCAGTGAAGAGTTAAGCTTTGCCTTCCTGTTGGCTTCAGGTGGGACCAAGACAATCAGTGTATAAGGACACCAAGAGAAATACGCTGTTGGGACCTTGCCCAAATCATTGCCATATGTGCTTCATTCTTAAAGGTCATTAATTTGGGGGGATTCGTGCCAAATGCATAAAATCTCTGAGATGCACAGATGCCTCAGCTGTTGACAGCAGTGTTTCTTCATCGCCATCGTAACTAACGTTTCTTGACCACCTGGCTATATACCAAGTATTGTTCTAGGAGCTCTAGTCATACTAACTCAGTAGATCCTCGCACAGCTTTATGAGGTACTATGATGATCTCCATTTAACAAGTGAGCAAAGTGAGGCGCATAGGATTAAGTGATGCAACCAAAGTCACACAGCTAGTGTGAGAGACAAGGTTCAAACCCAGGCCGTCTGAGTTTGAACCCAGACCCTGCCCTCCTCACTGTTATGCTGTGTCCCTGATTCTGCTCAACACAAGATTTCTATGATTGACAAGACTCAGATCATCTAATTTGGTCATGGGTGGCATAGCTAGGTATAGCCTTCCATAAAATCAAGTTTTGTATAGCCAGAGACCATACATAGAGTTTATCTAACCCAGTCTTTCACCCAATGCAGGGTTTCCTCATAATACACCTTTTTTTAATGGCAAACCAGTCTTTTTCTAGATACCTGTTGCGAGGGGAGGCCGCAAATCTGAGGATCAGGATCATTTTGAAGACGGTAAAATCCACCCATTTTTGTCAACATCTTAAGGTAACCAGTTTTGTAAACCATCCATGAAATGTATGCATATGAAAAGTATCACTTAAAATTCCTCAATGAAATATCAACTGTTATGGCAAATAGAGCATTCTTTAGTAGAGTGGGCAACATGGGAGGGCTACTGACTGAGCTAGACAATCTGTCTCATCAATAAATGCTTATTTTAGTACACATGTGCGTAAGCATTAGATATATATATATATTTGAAGACTCTGAACAGCTAAGATATTCACTGAAACTAATTTTTTTTACAATGAGTTGAGACAACGGGAACCATGGATTTTAACAGCTACGAAAGGGGAAGAGGCACCAAAAAAGAAAGTAACAGTGTTTCAAAGACAGCTGCAAGAAAATTTTAAATGATATGAAGAATATACTGGGAGAAATAGTGATTATTATCACTGTTGCTTGGCTCACAGAGAAAAATAGCCCTTAAGTTAATATACTAATATTTTCAGAAAATGTACCAGAATTTCAGTTATATCCATGGAGTCACAAAAGGATGTGTCCTTTGTAGATAGCTGTGAAAAGAACGCTTCCCTTTCATTCCCCAGCAAGTTTAGGGTTGTATTTTGTCGTAAAAGGGAGTTAAACCAAACTAGAAATGTATTTCCCAGTCAGGAGCCAAAACACATAATTCTTTCAAATCATTTTACAAATAGAAAAATAAAAGGACTAATGAGAAAAATTACACACATTCAAAGAATTCCGCCCCTGCCCAGATCGTCAGTTTTGAACTTTAAAAGCAGAAACACCTTAAGATTATTTTCTTTTTATATCATAATATTAAATATATTTTATTTTAATTATTGGTCAATTTAGATCAGTAAATGCCTTCCATCTAGAGCATTCAATTTACTATCAGGCATCTAAACGCATAGTTGCTTACAAAATAGATTTTTCATATAATTATAATTCTATGATACTTTGATAATTGTGGTACATTCCTGATCATTGAGGGAGTCAAAAAAGATAATTCCATAAATAAATTGCTTTACTATACAACTCTCTTACTGAGAAGTAATCACCACCACAAATCCATTTTCAAGGGAAATCCAGAGGATTAAATATGATTGGTTATTTATCAATAGTATTAGCTTCCGTCTGCTTTAATCCTAACCTAGTGATAAATATACCTAGGCTATCATAGTTTGGTGCACAAAGTAGAAATAACAAACTAGAGTACAGGCTCTTCAGGTCATCAATATCGCTAACGAATTAATTTTGAAGAATTCTCAATTACATACCTAAAATCTGTGAGCTTCTTTGTTCCAGTTATGTTGCCTCTGATCTGTACAAGAAAAAGACGAGAGAAGGGGTCATGAGATTTCTACCTGGACTCGACTGCCTAGGAGGCAGCCAGAACCCTACCATGTCAACCCCAAGAAGAGGCAATAAAATAGTAACTTGGTCATCGTAATAGCTACCCAGTGTCTCTCCTGCAGAATGAGACAGAAAGTTCTATCTCATAGAAAAAAAGACCTGGGTAGCAAACTAGCAGAAAACCATTCAGCTGAGATCCCCTAGAATTACATGTTTTCTAAAATATGAAGTGAAAATAATGTTCTAATCCTCTGAACACTCCTCCAGATACATTTTTACTTTGCTTTTAAACACAGGCATACCTTGTATTATTGGGCTTCACTTTATTGCTTTTCGCAGATCTTGGGTTTGGTCTTGGGTTTTTTTACAAGCTGAATGTTTGTGGCAACCCTGAGCCGAGCAAATCCATTGGTACCATTTTTCCAGCAGGCTCAGATGATGATTAGCATTTTTTAGCAATAAAGTATTTTTTAATTAAAGTGGGTACAGTGTTGTTTTAGACATAATGCTATTGCTCGCTTAATAGACTACAGAATAGTGCAAACATAACTTTTATACGCACTGGGAAAACAAAAACTTCATTGAACTCACTTTATTGAGATATTTACTTTATTATGGTCGTTTGGAACTGAACCAGCAATATCTCTGAGCTATGCCAGTACCTTGAAGACATTGCACATGGATCTGTTTTCCTGGAATTTTGCCATGGGAAAATGTTTCATGTTAGTAATAATAATTCCACTTATTGCCTAAACCATATGTTTAAAAAATACAGATTGTTTTTAAAAATTTTATTTTTAAAAGAAGTTTTAGGCTTACAGTAAAACTGAGAGAAACGTGCAGATATGTCCCATCTACCCCCTTCCCTCACACATGCACAGCCCCCTTCATCATCAACATTACTCGCCAGAATAATACATTTTTTACCAAGGATGAACCTACACTGACACATAATAAGTACCCAAAGTCCATAGGATCTTTAGCGGTATCACATTTTTGTTTTAACTTGTATTTCCCTGATGGCATACAATGTGGAACATCTATTTATTTGTAATTTTCCATCTGTGTATCTTCTTTGGTGATGTATCTTTTAAGGTATTTGGCCCATTTTTAAAAAATTGGGTTGCTTTCTGTTGCTGAGTATTAAGAGTTCTTTGTACATTTTGGGTAACAGTCCTTTAGCAGATGTGTCTTTTGCAAATATTTTCTCCCAGCCTGTGGCTTGTCTTCTAATTGTCTTTATATTATTTCTCACAGAGCTGAAGTTTTTAAATTTAATGAAGTCCAGCTTATCATTATTTCTTTCATAGATTGTGTCTTTGTTGCTGCATCTTAAAAAAAAAAAAAAAATCACCATATTCAAGGTCATCTTGGTTTTCTCCTATGTTATCTTCTAGGGGTTTATAGTTTTGTGTTTTACATGTAGGTCCGTGATCCATTTTGAGTTAATTTTTTGAACAGTGTAAAGTATGGGTCTAAATTCATTTTTTGCATGTGGATGTTCAGTTGTTCCAGAACCAGTTGCTGAAGAGACTGTCTTTGCTCCACTGTATTGTCTTTGCTTCTTTGTCAGAGATCAATTGACTCTATTCATGGGGATCTATTTCTGGGCTCTCTATTCTGTTCCATTGAACTATTTGTCTGTTCTTTTGCCAATACCACATGGTCTTGGTTACTGGAGTTTTATAGTAAGTTTTGAAATTGGGTAGTAAAGGCCCTCCAACATTATTCTTCTCCTTCACCATTGTGTTGTCTATCCTGTGTCTTTTACCTCTTCATATAAACTATGTAACCAGTTCATCAATATCCATAAAATAAATTACGGAGATTTTAACTGCAATTGTATTGAATCTGTAGTTGAAGTTGGGAAGAACTGACATTTTGACAATATTGAGTCTTCCTATCCATAAACATGGAATATCTCTCTATTTATTTCCTTCTTTTTTTTATTCATCAGAGTTCTGTATTTTTTCTCACTTAGACCGTGTAAATATTTTGTTAGATTTATACCTAAGTATTTCATTTTGGGGCGTAGTAATGTAAATGGTATTGTGTTTTTTCATTTCAAATTCTACATGTTTATTGCTGGTATATAAGGAAGCAATCAATTTTTGTATATTAACTTTGTATCCTTCAATCTTGCTATAATTATTTATTAGTTCCAGGAAGTTTGTTGTTGTTGATCTTTTGGATTTTCTGCATAGATGATTATATCATCTGAAAACAAAGACAGTTTTAGGTCTTTCTTCCCAACCTGTATGCCTTATATTTTCTTTTCTTGCCTTATTGCATTAGCTAGAACTTCTAGTATGATGTTGAAAAGGACTGGCGAAGAGACATTTTTCTCTGTACCTGATCTAGTGGGAAAGCTTCAAATCCTTATCATTAATTATGATGTTAGCTATAGGTTTGATGTAGATTGCTTTTATCAATTTGAGAAAGTTCCCTTCTCTTCATAGTTATTACATTAATTTATTTTCAAGTGTTGAACTAGCCATGTAGACCTAAGATAAATCTCACTTGGTCGTAGTGTATAATTTTTCACACTTTTTTGGATTCTATTTGCTAATATTTTGTTGAGGATTTTTGCATCTATGTTCATGAGAGATATTGGTCTTTAGTTTAATTTTTTTGTACTGTCTATCTGGTTTTGGCATTAGGGTAATGATAGCCTCACAGAATAAGTTAAGAAGCATTTCCCTCTGCTCCTGTCCTCTGAAAGAGATTGTAGAACACTGGTGTCATATCTTCCTTAAACATTTGGTAGACTTCACCATTGAACCTATCTGGGCCTGATTCTTTCTGTTTTAGAAGGTTATTAATTATTGATTCCATTTCTTTAATAGATACTTATTCAGATCATGTATTTCTTCTTGTGTAAAGTTTGGCTGATTGTTTCTTTCAAAGAATTGGTCCATTTCACCTAGGTTATTGAATTTGTGGGCATAGAGTTACTCATAGTATCTCTTAATTATCCTTTTCATTTCTATGGTATCTGTAGTGATGTCCCCTTTCATTTCTGATTCAGTAATTTGTGTCCTTTCTCTCTTTCTTAGTCTGGCTAGAGACATTGATTTTATTGGTCTTTTTAAAGAAGCAGCTTTTGATATTATTGATTTTTCTCTATTGATTCCTTGCCTTTTATTTCATTGATTTCTTCTCTAATTCTTATTATTTCTTTTCTTCTGCTTACTTTGGATTTAATTTTCTCTTCGTTTTTTAGTTTTCTAAGATGGAAACACAGATTAATGATTTTGGACCTTCCTACTTTTCTAATTTATGCATTCAATGCTATAAATTCCCTCAAGCACTACTTTTGCTGCAAGATTCTTTTCTTTTAAACCTATATATTTGTATCTAACAATAAAGTGAGATGCTCGAAAACATGATCTGTGAGAAGGTCTATTTTTTAACAATGCAAATTTTTTGAGTAGTTGTTTTTTATAACTTTAAAAATTTTTCCCCAATGTTTTATTTTGAAAATGTTCAAACTATAGAAAAGCTACAGGAGTAGTTAACAATGAATACCTGGACAGCCTTCAGCTAGATTTATTACCATTTATTTATCCCAGTTTATTACCATTTTGCCACATTTGCTTTATCTCTCTGTGTTTGTACATATTTTGCCAATTACTTGTAGACAGAAAGATGTTTCACTCCTAAATACTTTAGCATGTACTTCCTAAGGACAAATATCCTACCATAATCATACAATGATCGCAACTGGGAAATTTTAAATAATGCAACACAATGATCTAGTATGCAGTTCAAATTTCCCCAAGTGCCTCAATATTGAGTCCTTTTCAGTCTGGGGGATTTATATTTTATTTGAAGTCCAGGATTCCATCAAAGATCATTATTGCATACAGGGTTGGGCAAAAGTAATTTACAGTTGTTCATGTGGATAATTAATAAATAATAATATAAGAATAAACTCTGTTTCATATACTTGCAACTGTAAACCTACTTTTGCCCTACCCTGCATATTGGCATGTGTACATAGTTCCTTTTGTCCTTGACAAATTACATTTTTGTAGAATCCAGGCCAGTTGCTTTGCATAATGTCCCTCAAATTGGACATTTGTCTAATTGGTCCCTCACAATTAAGCTAGATAAAGCATTTTTTGGCAGAGGTACACAATGTGAAATTGGAATGCTTTCCTTCTGTTTATATATTAGGAAAAGCACAAAATAGGTTGGATTAACATTTTCTTTCAATCACTCAATAACAGTGATTGTCTCAAGTAAACTTAGTGTTACAATTTGCAATTTATAAAATCCTTTGACATGAATTAATTTATTCAATTTGTACAACCCCATGAGGTAAGTATTTTTAACCATTTTTATTCTTTTGTTATTGATTTTAGAGAGAAGAAGGGAGAGAGAGAGAGAGAAAGGAAGAGAGAGAGAGAGACATGTGAGAGAAACATTGATCGGTTGCTTCCCATACGGGCCCCTACAGGGGATCAAACCTGCCACCTATTGGTGTAAGGCACGATGTTCCAACCAACTGAGCTCATCTTTTTTTTTTTTTTTTTAAATGGAAATTTATCCAAGTTTATATAACCAGTAAGACTACTTCTGTAGCCAAAATTTAAGTATAGAAATACTGTAAATATTATAGATTAAGAAGCCTCCTATTTTCATGTCAAGTAAATCTAGACATTCTTTCTCTCCTAAAACCTGCACTACACATTGTCCAGACTTTGTCCCTTACAGCTCTAGTTTTCCTATGTTAAATTACAAGGCAGTTGGATGTTACACTTTACTTAAGCATTTTTCAACTATAATGATTTGAAGTTGTAATAGTTAAACCAGAAACAATGTGAAAGTAGATGAATGTTAGCTGAATTAAACTCCAAGTCATTGGCTTTTGTTCATGTTGATGTCTTTGCATTTGGTGTCCCTAGTAATACTCCAGCTCTTCCTTTCTCCCCAGACAAGATTTTATGTCACTTCCTTCTACTT